CCCCTTAAGACACTTTTTCGTGGGCCCCCTAGTCTTTGGAACCAGAAAAATTTGGTCGCAAATTTGTTTTTTTTTTTTGTAAATTATTAGTTAACCAGAAAGCCATTGAATTTAGAAACTTTTTTGTCTCTTGATATTTGTTTCGTAAAACGCAATGTTGGCAATGGAAAATGGCGAATCACGATATGCATTCGATCACATTTTGACATTATTCTCGAAAACATTGCGTTATACGGAAAAAGTATAAAGAGATAAAAAGTTTCTAAATTTAATGGCTTTCTAGTGGATTGATAATTTTTAAGAAATTTAAATATGCAACCAATTTTTTTTGGCTTCAAAGACAAGGGGGCCCACAAAAATTGTCTTAAAGGGGTAAAAATGTAGACCAACAGATTCCACATGACATGAAACCCCTGTGTACCAAATTTAGTGATTCTCGTACAACAGGGTTCTGAGATATAAAAAAAGATTATTCTTAGGGGCGGACTTCAGGGGGCTGTAACTCCGAAAGAGGGGGATACTTGGCAATAATAAAAATACGGGTCCCCTAAATTTGTCTTAAGAATCTGTGACCAAATTTTGTTGCATGAATTTCGGGACACCCTGTATTGTAGTTTTACATTCTGGAACTTTACTCTAATGTTAATAAAACTTATACAGCTCGTCAAACGGAACGTTGATGATGAAATAGCTCCATCCAGTATGCTCAGCACATGTTCAGGTGGCATATGGTACCAGGTAGTATGGAATACTTTCTCTTTCCGGCCGTTGCACATTTTTTAACGGATGAAGACCCATCGTTATACAAGTTATAATTTGGAAAAATTCAGTATATTATTTCATATACAAAGAAATTCATTAAACAAAAGGAACTGTTTACTAAAGTTATTGTAAAATTTAGATGAATCTATAACCTCATATAATTATGTAGTCAAAATATTAGGAATATCCTAGAGCTTGTTAATAATTAATTATTAAAGTTTGGAGCGCAAACTATATGTTTTAAACAAGTACTTGCTGCCGCCCTAATTTATGACGTCATTTAGTGCGATGAAGAATGAATGACAGGGACGGGACTGCCCACTAGCATGAACATATAGAGCCTTCATAAAAGATTACAAGTCACGTGCCCAGTAAGTTTGCTTGGAACAGTAATTTTACTTCCATCACGTTGGCAGTTAAATTTTGGTAAAATTAAAACAATAAGGCCAAGATTATATTAAAACGCAATATTCTGTTTCATCGACTGCGATTGGTGTAATTTTTCACGCGATTCTATTCAACCAATCAGCGAGCGCATTATGATGAACTATATATTTACTTTTTTATTAGAATCAGTTTGTAACAGTTCTTGAGCAGGTACTAGTTATTCTGAGTTCGGAATTCTCAATATTGGCACATGCGCTTTTATGTTGCTGATGCTGATAAAACGATCTCCTATAAAGATAAGAAGTTATAATCCCATGTTAATAATACGAGTGCAAATTATGTATTAAAGGTGAACAATTGAAAAAATAGTATAATTTTGCCGCTGCTCTAAAAAAACAGTTTATCAGATAATGAAGAAGTCTTTACAATCGATCTTAATATTAGAAACATTACTGCATCAAGCAAATGAAATATAAGCAGAAAATATTGTTGCAACAAGTTCTGAACCAGTTTAAAGCGCATACAGTTGAGCATCGAATAAGAATTAGTCCCACACAGTTTTTTATTTCAGACCCAGGCATAAGGACGGCTTTCGGACGCGAAGAAATTGACTCGATAACACTAAATGATGTCATGAGGGGCTCTTCATCATATTACAAAATTTATATATTTGATTTTATTGTAGTCTCAAAGGAATTATTTTTTTACCAGTTAGCTATAGACTACAAATTTAAACAGAAATAAAATTTTCATGCAAATTGTCAACATATTTTGTACTATTTCGATACAACTTCTCTGTTTTGCGACAAAGCTAGTTCACTTGTCTAGAAACATGCGAATGCCTTTTACAAAAAAACGTTTTAATGTAAATATTAACATCCATCACCATCTTTATACGGAAATTATCAGCCCTGCAAGTGCTTCTTCAAACTTTTGATTAGTCGTATATTACTACCAACCAGAAGGTAAGGAATAATCAGTGAGGTGGAAGCACTAAAAAATATCCAAGATTCTCGCATTGAGAAAGTTATGCCCCTCGACTTTGAGATGCCAGTCAGTTTCAAGAAAAAGGTGATATTGTGATTAGAGTTCACGTGATCTCAATCACTGTTGCCTCACAACAATCCCACTCTCATACTCCTGCAACTGATGCATTACAGGAAGTTTGAGATATTACATTATTCACTGTACGTCCAAATTTGACGCTATGTGACTTTTATGAGCTGTCAAAAACCACTTTCAGAAACAGAATTTTAAATATGGTAATGGCAATTGAGGGCAAGTTGATCAAAAGCTGCAATAAAAAGTTTTTTGTAAAGAACATCCACAAGCTTATGGATATTTACAGCAAACGCCATTTATGATAAAGTTCTAAAGTCTTTCTAAATCACGGAAGATAATCATAAATCGAGATAAGTGCATTGCAGTATGTGACATTAAATTAGGTAGGCACCAATTACATGCAAGCAGGCGTGGCCTTTAGATGCATTCAATTGCTTAGACTAAATGTGTACTGAACCTGAATGATTACGCTAAAAAGTAACACACAAGCAGTTGCTGTAAACATTGTTGTAACAGTGACAATAAATAATTTCTGCTATTTGATAAATTTGTGATATTCAGTTCCGATTAACCTCGTATTTGCAGAACAGAGTCTGGATTATGGATTTTTCGCGGAAAATTACCCAGTTGAATACCCTGAAAATGTGCCCAAATCGTTGTGTAAATGGTCCAAGTGGTTATAATGTACGTTTTGGTCGCGTGACACTGGGTCCCGAGCCTGGCACAACTCTTCCTCGGCATCCCGAATGTAAAGGAAGAATCGTGGAAATGTCGGTATTGTCAGCATACAGTTTTATTGATACTCTGTTTGATGCCCAGACGCAAAAGGCAGCGTACTGATTTTTTAGAGTAATTTCCATTGCAAATCGAATATTATTTACGTGTATATTCGTAGATTGAATTCTGTATTTATATTCAGAGTTTTTCACAAGTGTGTCCGAACAAGAAAAAAGTTGTTATTAATAAATTTCTGACAAAACATTTTTTTTAGAAAAATTTAAATAATAGCAGGATCCATTTTAAAATATCAAAGCATGCCATTAAACAGACATTCTAAACAGATCATAAATATGTTTGTATGGTTTCAATTGTTTTGGAAAAAAATTACCTTCTTCATATCAGTTTAATTGCTTTCAAAGGCTCTTATACCAGAAACTACTCTGCAAATGATCTATTGATTTCACATCGGGACTTTTAAGAGGTCATAAAATTTTACAGCATTTACTTTTTCCGATATTGGATTATGGATGTATTTTACAGTCAATGCTGAATGTTTTTTTTTTAATTGAACACTAAGATATTATAAAAGGAACATTGTAGCTAATTCTTAAAAATATTTTAGAATTTAAAACCTCTGGGATCTGGTTACCATTTATTAAGCAGTTTGTGGATACAATTACGAGAATCATAAGAATAAATCTAAACCATCTAACTAATATGAAATGCGGCATATACAGGGTATTGCGAAAATGACTGCTAAAAATTTAGAGGCTGATGGAACATAAAAAAATAAGATTTTTCCCATTTTTGTTTTTGAGGTACGGTATGCCAAAAAAAGTTTTTAAAATTAATTTTTAGCCATATCTTCCCAAAAAACAATGTATGCCATTGAAATTTCCTAGAAGTAAGTGATATTTTGTAACAACTATTTTGAGGTTAGATTTTTAATTGTGTATGTCTTGTATCACATTGCAATATTTAGCCTTATACAAAAAGAGCACTCTTGTTAAAATCGCTTTAAAAGCATCTTTCTTGAGATTATCTCGAAATCAACTAGCATTTGTTCTTAATACATAGAGTGTTCGCAAATGAACGGCAATACTTGAAGGGTAGCTATTTAGATCAATTTACCTTGATAAAATTTGGCTTTTTTAAAAAGTTACGGGTCTTCAAAAAAAAAGGAAATAAAGAAAATGTTTTTCAAGTCCCTTTAAAAGAAGTAAATTCCAGTCACCCTATAGATTAAGTAATAGAAGTTGAATGACTTTGAGATGATCAATTGCGTCTTTCTCAAAAAAAAAAACGATGAAGATTTGGCGATTTTAACAAAAATTCCCATATTTATATTGTTTTAAAAGACATCTAAAAAACCTAACCTCAAAAATGTTATGTCATATTTCAGTGGGAGAGATAGAAGCTCGCGATCTTTAACAGATAGTAAAGAATTGGTATTTCATACTAAATTGTACTAATTTTCAATGAAATATATTCCTTTTTAAAAAAGATACGACTAATATTTGAATTTAAAAAATTATCTTTGATACCGTGTATTTCAAAGACAAAAGACCATAGGCCCATAACATTTTTGTTTTATCACTTTCTAAATTTTTTGTAGCTTTTTCCTAGCTCCCTGTATATATTTGCAAAACAATTGAGATTTCTTATATATGATCTTAAGATAATATTTTATTAGTGCTAAAAAAATTTTTCGTTATTCCAAAAAATTGAGGCATAGAAAATTTTGTAAAGAATGGCATTTTGTCAGTAATTAACAAAAATAATTTTTCTCTTCAATTCACATCGTGAGACACACTGTATGTATAATTAGGATCAGGAAATTTGTATTTGGGTGTTACTATTTAAAAAAAGAAGTTTTTTTCTAAGTGCATCAACTTTTTTTTGGAAAAAACTATTGAAAGAAAATGAGATAGCAAATTGAAAGTCAAAAATTATAACTACATTATCAGGAGTATCTAAACAAAAAATAATTTCTGAACAATGTCAGTTTGAAATTTTGAAATTCCTTAATAACAGAACAGATGTGTACTATTTTTAAAAGCACAACTTACCCCGTCAGTTTTCAGTCTTATGTCCTTTCCTGCGGCCTGCAGGAGAGCTCTCAGGATCGCAGTAGCAGTGCCCGTTTGTCTGGAAGCTACCAGATGGACAGCGGTTTGAGTTCGACTCTGACAGAACAGAAATACTAAAGATAAATACTATTTCAGTCTAAATAAGCATCCAAACAATTCAAATATAGGTGGAAGTGGATAAAAAATTGCTTGGCGCTGTTGGCGATGCGATTTTGTTCGCAGTTTAAATCATTCTGACGCCTTCAGAGCCAACCAAGTACGAGCTTCCCATGATAACCCACAATAATCGTCGCTATTTATTTTGAACTAAATCCCATTTTATAGTGTCAAGCGGTGAAGGCGAGACATGCAAACTTTTATGAGTAATTACGGAGAGTTAATAGCTTTGCGCTGATTTTGAAACTTCTATGGTGTACTCACCCCTCCTGTGGAGTACGGGTCAACTCCCTTTTTCGTCAGAAGCAGCTTGACTACATCTTCTCTGGAGTACATCGCTGATATGTGGAGGACGTTGTAGTTATCCTGTGAATAATATAAAGCAGTCAACTTTGTGATTAATTGTATTGTGTATACTGGTGATTCTATTTATCTTTTAGACCGCGACTTATCTAAGTGCAAACAAAGTTATTGAAAAATTTGTACTGGTGGAAGTAGTAATTGAAGACGTGATATCAACAAAATCTATGAAGAAGACGAAAAGTTAAATAACTGTTCACGTCAGAAATTAACTACATAACTCTGTATCCAAAAAACTTATTTAAAATTAGCGGGTAGTATGAAAGCATACAATTATTTTTTTGTTGGTTGGTAGTACTGTCCATGATATCCATGCAGAGTTTCAAGTCAAAATATTCAATTGCTGCAGAGCTACTCGTGCTTTTGTAAACATATTAAAGTGAGTTTATCGATTTTCATTATGTCTGATTTTGTTGAACAAAGAATTTGCATTGAATTTTATTTGCGGAATGAATATTCTGCCGCGAAAACGTTGAGGATGCTACAGAAGGCCTTTAGTGATAAGGTTATGTCACAAAAAATATTTACAAGTGGTATAAAGACTTTAAAGAAGGCTGAGAAAGCGTTAAGGACGAATAGCATCCCGGAGAACCATCAACGTCAACTAATGAACAACACGTTAATCAAAACAAAGGCCTTGTGCTCGAAAACCGTCGATTAACAATAAGAGACCTTGTTGATACTGTTGACATTTTAAAAGGTAATATGAATATTGTGCAAAAGATGAACCAAAGCCGAAAAAACCACGCCAGTCACTCAAAAATCAAGGTCATGTTGACAGTTTTCTTTGACTATCGTGGCGTCGTGCATCGAATTCCTTGCAATCGGCCAAATTGTTAACAAAGAATATTATTTGAGTGTTATGCGTCGTTTGCGTGAGGCTATTCGCAGCTAAAGGCCGGAATTATGGACAGACAACAATTGGTTTTTGCATCATGATATTGCACCGGCTTACACAGCATTGATAATTGACCATTCCACCAAAAATTCAACTCATATCGTTCCGCAACCACCGTATTCGCCTGATTTAGCACCGAGTGACTTCTGGCTATTCCCTAAAGTTAAAAGACCACTCCGTGGACACCGTGGACTCGATCGAGGAAATAAAAGCCGAATCGACGGGAGCATTGAAGGCCATACTGGTTCAAAATTTGTGAATATATGAGGTGACTTTAATAGATACAAAAGTTTACAAATTTTAAAATAAGCTGATTAAGGCTATGTCTATCCAGATTTTTAACATCCACCATGTATATAGTAACGCAAAAAAATTAGAGAAGTGCATTTGCTTCCTAGTAACCCTGCTACATATTAGAATTTACGAAAACAAGAAAGTGTACGCCAGAATTTGCTTAGAATTTTTCTATAGAATAAATTAATTATAATATTCTAGCAAACTGCAAATCAATGCGTGTTTAATGTTGCAGGCCAATGCGTCACGCAACTCAGGAGTTAGTTTACTTCTACGTTTTCGCTATGTTCTTAATTACGTGCCCCCTTCCTTTCACCTAATTCAGGGAATCGTGTTTCACGTTATTATATCAAGAATCTTGGATATATTATTTGTCAGAAATATCTCATTCAAAGGAAAATTGATGTGGTACAACAATTTTGAGAAAGAATTATTCGCATATATAGAAACATATCAATTTTCACTAGACAGAGTGCTCAAAACAATTTTAAGAACATTATACAGGGTGGGCCACCAGTAACGCCTCGGTGGCTATGGACCAAACAGCAAATGTTATAGAAAGCTGCTTAGGTGGATATGTGTAGACTAATTATGGCTACATTTAAAAAATATTTTGAAATATACAGGGTATCCAGGAAAAGCGTATCATATCAAAGTTATGTATTTTTAAATGGATCACCCTGTATTTTACTGCATTTTTGAAAGCACCGTAAAAAATGGTTGAACTTTATTGAAGGTTTTGCATACCTGGGCTTGTTGTTTGTGAGAGATTTCAGTTTTAGTGAAAATGCAGGCTTAGCGTAGAAATTTAATATTAGCAATAAAAAAATAATTTTAAGGAAGCAGCTTATTATATTTGTCGTCACTGAATATTGTTAAAATAACTACTGAATACTTCTCTCAACTTTAAATAGCAATAACTTGGTTATTTTAAATGGGACACCCAGTATATTTTTACTTTGGAAGTTAAGAAATCCAAAATTCTTTCGAACTGCTATAGGATCCCTATACCTATCTATAACGGTATTGGAGATATTTGTGCCGTTTATTTTTTTATCGATTTTTTTTGTAAGATGTATCCACGTGTCTTTATCGAGGTCTTTATTGAACTGGTAAAGCGTCAATCACGACAATATTCAAGAAAGTTTTCTAATAAATATTATATATAATATTATTTTATAAGCAGAATAATTAAAAAAAGTTATTCATTTTGTATAAATATGATTTTTGTACGTAACTGAATTAAATTAATTAGGAGCAACATGAAAAATATTTATTAAAGGAAATTTTACTTTTAGAAGAAACAAAGAAAAATTTTAATAGATGTTCGAATTGATAACCATTCTCTTGAATACAGCATCTTATTCTATCTTCAAGCGATATTCTCACATTCCTTAGAATATATAGGGTGATTGTGGCAAGTGCATTTTTAATCCTTTCCTTCATATCATCGCAAGTAGTAGGTGGAACACTGTGTACAAGATGTTTTATATAGTCCGAAACAAAGAAGTTTATTACGGTAAGGTCTGGATAGCCACTGGCATGCACCATTCTTACTTATCCATTTATTACTAAATTTTCGATTTAAATAATTTCTCACTGAATATGAAAAATTTTAAGGTGCGCCATTTAATTGCATCCTCATTTTTCTCCTTATATCTAAAGAGACGTCATCAAGAAGAATCCAAACCAATTCAGTAAAGACCTCGATGAAGACACGTGGATACGTCTTAAAAAAATTCGGTAAATAACGAAACGGAACAACTATCTCCAATACCGTTAGATATAGGTATAGGGAACCTAAACAAAGTTCGAAAGAGTTTTAAATTTCCTAACTTGCAAGTAAAAATATGCTGGGTATTGCTTTTTAATGTTGAGAGAAGTATTCAGCAGTTTTTTGAACACCCTGTACAATACTAAGTGACGACAAATATAATAATTTATAACTTCAATTATCAGAAATACACTCTACAAAGCTGCTTTCTTAGAATTATTTTTTTATTGCTAATATTAAATTTCTAAGTTAAGCCTGCATTTTCACTAAAATTGAAATATCTCGCAAACAATAAGTCCTAGGTATGCAGAACCTTTAATAAAATTCACCTATTTTCTAATGGTGCTTTCAAAAATGCATTAAAATACAGGGTATTCCATTTAAAAATACAAACTTTGATATGATACGCTTTTCCTGGACCCCCTGTATATTTCAAAATATTTTTAAAATGTATCCGTAATGAACCTACACGTACCTACCTAAACAGATTTCTATAACATTTGCCGTTTGGTGCCTACCGACCGAGGCGTTACTGGTGGCCCACCCTGTATAGTATAAAAAAATTAATAAATTTTCAATCTGCGTGTCGGTATATGTTTGTACACAACTTTATGGTCCACCTATTCAGAAATGCGTAATATTAACAAGGAATTGCGTAATTTTTACACAGCGCGTTTTCATTCCCACATATTTTAGTTCTTCTAACTAAAAATTGTGTTAATAATTTAATTTTTAAACCTTCAATTCAATCAAAATAGTCACTAAAAACACCAAAATGATTTTACTCATAAATAACTTTGAATCTATTGCTATTTTTTTACTGTGTAGATAAGTTATGTTAGTTGTACAGAGCCTTCATAAATGATTACAAGCCACGTGATCACCGAGCTTAGGCAACCAACATTGCATGGATGGTACTGTCAACTAAAAATCCCTAAATTTTAGCGTTACCAATATTAATGATTCATTTACAATGAACAATGACAAACAGTTACGTCTACGCGCGAAATGATGGGGTCGCTGATTGATTGTATAGCCGTTTTAACAGATTGTTGTTTTAATGTAATTTTAGTTTTAATAATTTTTAATTTTACCAAAATTTAATAGCCAACGTAAAAGGAATAAAATTACTATCCCAAACAATATTACTGGTCACGTTACTTGGAATTATTTATGAAGGTGCTGTATTAAAGGTATTTATTTATTTAAGTTACATGACCTGACAGTTAAAACCAAGGGTGGGAGAAATAGCTAATAAAAATAAATGCAGTAACAAAATCAGATATCAATAAAGTACAAAAGTAAAAAAAACAGTAAACAATAACACAAATTATAAAAAGTTATAAAAAATTATAAAAGATAACCACTACGTACGTATAATATTTTCGTTATTTTAAGAACGTCCTTTATGTTTCTCTGTAATTATGTAAATGGATATAGTTAATTTTCAGTTTTTACAAATAATTATTTTAGGTGGGAGATATAAATATCAATACAAAAAGATCAAAGCCTACAAAATATTATCAATATTAGTCGGCTTCTGTAATACTCGCATTTGGCAATACCGGATGTTTAGGGGCCCGGTGGACATATTATATAATAGAAATTATCGCCAATTTGCCGAATTTGGTTGAATTGCGTGTTTACCATCGATAATTCGTTAGAAAAATAGTACCTATTAGGTCGATTCTCGAAACTTTCGAACTTTCTGGCGGTTATTTTCTTAATGTAGATTCATTCAGATATACCTACGTATTTTTTTAATTTCCTGTTTTTTAAACAATCTTTTCTCAGAATGTCGTGCGGCAATTCAACCCGGTATTTATTCTATAATGCTAGGAGGTGTCTAGTTACCTATTTCTTACAAAAATGAAGTCATAAAAGAAAGATTTTATAGCTTCTAGTATAAAAGTATTCCTGTGGCACGTGCAAAAACCACTTATTTTAAAGTCAATTCGTGGTTAAACTCCAATTGCCTCATTCAGCATAATTTTTTAAATTCATATTCTGAAGGTACACATTGTAGTCAGTTGAGGCGCAAAAAATCTAACCCATAAGTGCTTTTATTTTATAGTTTAGTTTCCATTAACCCACAGATCCCACAATTCCACTAGAGGAGTACCTACATTATTAAACCTATATCTACGAAAATATAATTCGCAGACGCAGACCCTTCTTGCACCAGAGTCTTCAATAATATTATTGAGCATTTTTTACTTAGCTGGTATTTTCAGCGGGCGAATTTTGGTTAGGCAAAAATAGTTTAACAAAAATAAACTTTAACTGATTCTTTTAGCACAAAGATTAATTTAATATTTTTTTTATTTTATACGTGGAAAATATCAATAAACAGAGGAATAAATTAAACTATGCTACAAATAAGGAAGAAACTTAAACAATATCACAAAAAAAATAACTAGACAATAGCCGTCGAGCCAGTCTAGTTTCACCGAGTCCAAATGCAATTAATTTATTAGATACTTTGACTTACTGGAAAAGGAAACTGTTCGCGTCACAAAAAAATATACAACAATTATATTCCAGTAATCCTATTTGTCGTTCGCAGAATGTTTAAACAGTATTCACTTCCCCATATAAAATGTTTTTCATGCTTTCGTTTTAGCAAAATTTGTCTGAGAACATTAAATTATGACTTAAATTGTCAGCTTGTCATCTGCCCTTTTCTGCGAATTGCTGCCAGGATTTACGCATGCCACTCCCGTCGATTACTTTCCAATCAGGTTAAATGGCTATTAATATCCAAAAGTACCTAATGGCCGTATTAATCCGTAAATACCATGATGGAGCACATTTTGCAATAATCCATTAAGTAATACGATGCACGAAATGCATTTGAGAAATGTGAAATCGAAGCAAGGAATGGGGGATGAGGACGGATTTAGATATCCCAGTCAAACGGAGGGTGTTCCTTTATCAGAGACAAATCTTTTATGCTCGATAGAGTGCGATATTATTAATTTGTAACAATGTTTAGTTAATTTTATACAAATTTGTCTGTTTAAATAAATGTCCCAGAAGAGTTACAGTCAAATATTTTTAAATTTACTTCTGTTTGAGGAAATATTTTACACTAAGAAAAGTAGTACTATTTGGTAGTCTCTATTAACTACGTAAAATTACAGCAACAATGTTTGTGGCAAGTCAAAATAAAAATATGTGTACACACAAAAACCATCAACGGTAAATCATATCACAATAAATAAATAACAAAAATACAAATTATTAAAACAAAAAAAAAAACAAACAAGGAAGTACAAGTTATTTTATTTTGTTCTTAATACCAGGAATATTCAAAGGTTTTATACTAGTTGTCAAAATATTATGCGAACTGAGAGGACCCCGCACAAACCTTATGGAAATGGATCCCCGGTGGATCTCTCTCAAATTTTGGGAATGAACTCTTCAGAGCATCCTGATCAAAAGTTATCACAAGAGTCAGGAGATGCATTCGGCTCATTATACCATACCATCAAAAAAAGTATCAGACCCACACATGTAATATTTGGTTTCCGGAATATTTTTGAGCGCTGGATACGAATACGTCATCATTTTTTCTCTAGCACGTATCAGTCTTCAGCAAATCGCTGAAGAAACTTCAGGAAACTGAAGAAAGAACATTGTGGCCTGTGATTCTCATGCGATATGTGGTTTCCGGTGTATTTTTGCACGCTGAGCACGATTCTGGGGTCAAATGTGCTCCAGTTACCTTAAGCCTTCAATTGAAGAAGCTTCAGTAAACTGAAGATAAACACCATGGTTCTTCAGTTATTACTTGAGGACTTAAGGTAATTAAAGCACATTTAGTAGCAGTAAAACTCGCTCCATCTTACATTCAAGACAATTTAGAAGGTGGTGGGGGTTTGAAAATGGATCAAAAGCTGAATGAATCAGGTTTTATACGCGTAAGAGTTAAATCCAGGTTTCGCCGTACAACTACCCATCAAGTGTTTATTGCATATCATGCAGTGGAAGAAGATATCGAAGAAGACGAGGAACCTATTATTGGATATTACTGCACATGTCACGCCGTTGGTCCTGGGTAACGCAGAAAATGGGTAACAATTTTGATATGAGTCCGCATTTAGAGTTGATGTAAAATTCTTCCGTTTTCAGTAAAACGCTGAAGAACCATGATGGTTCTTTCTTCAGTTTTATGAAGCTTCTTCAGCGATTTGCTGAAGACTGATACGTGCTAGAGCAAAAATAATGACGTATTCGTGTCCAGCGCTCAAAAATATACCGGAAACCATATATTGCATGTGTTGGTTTGATACCTTTTTTGGTGGTGTGGTATAATGAGCCGAATGCATCTCCTGACCTTTGGGTTCATTCCCAAAATTTGAGAGAGATCCACCGGGGATCCATTTTCCATAAAATTTGTGCGAGATCCTTTATCCAATTTTTCTTTGATTTAGTTAAGTTTATCACGTGGAATTTTAAAATGGTCTTCGTATTTCGTCTTGTAACTGCCCCACAGAGAATTTCTACTAACGTACAGATGTTTTTGTGAATGAATCTTAAGCAGAGTGGCATACTTGTGTATGCAAAGACAGGGTAAGGGCAGATTTTAAAAAAAAGTTTGACAGTGATCAGTATGGCAAGAATTAGTTATGAAACGTTCAGCTTTCTTTTGTAACGTAAATATACAGGGTGTTTGTAAATAAGTGCGAAATATTTTAGGAGGTGGTTGCCGAAGTTATTTTGTGAAAAAAAGTTCATATAAACGTAGGTCGAAATATGCTTCATTTCCGAGATATAGTGTATACATTTTTTATTTATTTTTATTAATTATTTCAGAGTTTTAAAGATATTGACTCGATATTTGAAAAACGCTTTGGAGGGATAAATGTGCATTTTTTGGGTTGACCTGAATATTTCCACTTGCACCAGTAACGTTCGTGCGAGATGCCACAACTTTTTTTAATAAAAAAAATGGTACGCCACTACTTTTTCCCGTTTTGATTTGTTTTTTTTTAGAAATCCGCCATTCTGAATGAAATTGGTCTCTCTAAGTTTTTTCGTAGGATGCACCATTTTTGAGAAAAAAATATATATTTTATTGCAATTTCTATTGAGACATTATCTAGTTGGTTGTTGTCAATATTTCTAAATAAAATACAACCATCAAATTTTGAGTCAATATTTTTAAAACTCTCAAATAATTAACAAAAATAAATAATAAATTTAAATTTAAACACTCTGTACCTCGCGAACGAAGCATATTTCGACCTACGTTTATATGAACTTTTTTTCAGAAAATGACTTCGGCCTAATATATTTCGCACTTATTTACAAACACCGTGTACATATTTTTTTAAGGAGATGATTCCGTAGATCATTTTAAGGCAGAAAGTTTTTCTAAAAGGCTTAGTTTCTGACGCAGAGTATTAAAATTTAAAAAATGACACAATTACGCTAATATATGGAAGACTTTTGATTCAGGTTAACGAAATTTGGACCTTTGACTCAACAGAGTAAGGATAAACACTACTAAAAACCCCAATTTCAACGCCACTGATTATTCTGAAAATTCTATCAGTTCATTTCTAGTTGTATTTTAAAGAAAACAGATCTGTTATATTTTATTTGGAAATAGAGTAATTTTCGGGTTATTTATTTTTAATTCTAAAATAAAACAGCATAGTTAAATAATTCGAAAATAAATATAAAACTATTTATTTCACTTAAAATACATTGTTTGTTGTAAATACGTCTTTAAATACATAAATTTATTATAAGTTAAAGAAAATAATTAATTTTGAGAATATGAAAGATTCCTTTTTTAAATACAATTGCGAACCAAATGCATATTGATTTTCGTAAATATTCATTGGCGAAGAAATGGCCATAATTGAATAAAAACTGACGGAATTTTCACCTTTACTTACGTTAATTATATAAATATATAATAAATATATTTTACATTAATATTTTTGATAATAAAATTAATTGTACAACTTTATAATTAATAATTTTGACAGTATTAATTTTTTTAGATAATGTCTCCATGATAATTAGGTACTTGACATAAAGCATATTATACTCGGTATTATATTTTAGTGGAAAATACTTTTCGTTGGTGTCTCAAAGTTCTTCCTGGAATTGTCAAACAATGGAGTTTCTGAAAACGTTATTTTTTCATTATCCTTAAAATTAAAGATACGAAGTAAAGAAAAATCATTGTTAAAAAATTGTACTTATATGAATGTATGGCTATTTTGTATCAACAATTTGGAAATAAAATGACGAATCTGAACCATCTGAATTAAATTTGTTTGAAATGAGTTTAAAATATATCAATATTAATATTCCGTGTTGACGACATAGCAAATTTTTCGCGTCACGTGACGCGTTAAGTTTTAAAGGTGATTAATATAATTTTTCTCGCGAAATTTCGCCATCTAATATCATCGTGCTCAACTTACATTGTTCCTGGCTCCTACGTCGGACCCCAGGTCGATCATTCTGTCAATCAAGGAGGTCCTGTTGTCTTTGACTGCGTACATGAGAGGTGTCATTCCCGTCGCCTGGAAACAACGGACAATTTATCTGTTTGTTCAATAGAGCCATTCCATTACTAATATTAAATTCCCCCATTGTTGTCGTCAATGACAATGAACTGGGGACGAAATTCGGTAAACGAGCCGATATCTATTTATCTCGAGAATGGGCGAACATTGAAAACTAGTAAGCGCGTCCTTACAAAGGACAAAATTGTTTACCATGCTTTGTAGAAAAAGCGTATTCAATATTTTTTTTACATATTTTTACATAATACCACCTGACAGTTAAAACCATTGATAGACGGAAAAAATAACTGATAAAAATTATGCGTAATTGTGCATGAAAATATTAATGTTTAAATATAGAATATATACTAACATACATACAAATAACAAATTTAAAAATATCTACAAGAAACAGGTCGTAAATAAAATTAAAAATCGATACAGCGCGTTGCGGCTAGATAAAACTTTATATGAAATCATGAAAAATATCCACATAATTTTGCATTTGTGAATGATTTATCAACCATTGTGATCTAGGAGTGGGAAGACGAAACAAAGACGAAGTCCGGATGATAGAGTGAGAATCGTAGAAAGAAATCTATCTTGTAATAAATTTACGAGCATTTAGAGTTATTAATGAATCACAGTTACGCCGTGGAGCTAGATCATTAAGAAGGAATCGTTTAAGGTGGCAATATCCATGGCTGAGAAATAGTCAAATGTCTGGCGTTTTTAGGTACTGAAATTTTGAAAAGTAAAACGTGTAGAACAAAAGTAAGCACAAAAATAAAATCCTTGATGTTTTGTTTATTCATTGTTACTATTTAAATTTACTCAAATAAAATAATAACTAAAAAAAAGAGTTTGTAAAACATGCGTTTGCTGTTATCCTAACCCCACATTTTAAGAATTATTTTCACGTACTTATAAATAAAAGTAAACAATTTTATATGTAGGACTAAGGAAGTAAATGTTATAACAATTTTTACATGTGGAGTTGTATATAAAAATATTAGTATTTTCGTAGATTTCAGTTCCTAAAATCTTGATGGTTTGATCGTTTTTTGCACCTGTTTATTGGTTTTACTGCGGCGACTTTGAAAATATCCAGATGGCATGACATAACATTCCTATTATCTAATAAGCTTTAGATTATACATTAAATGTTTGAAATTATTTGTCTTTGTGGAAAACACTATTTAAAGAATATGACGCCCTTAATCAAAATATTATATGACATATTCCTTAGAGTGGATAATCACAGCCACACAAAAAAAGAAAAGTTGTCTGTACTTTTCATGCGACATTTGTTATCTGTAGTCCTGATCACGAATCCGGTGTCAGAATTGAGCTCACATCACAGGAAATCCCTAACCTCAAAAAACAGGTAAAAAATAGGAAAAATTCATGAAAAAGTGATAGGAAAAATACAAACAATTTTTTTTCTATATTTAAATGTTCATTTATATAGTTAAGACCCCGCCGAACGTGAATTAGCGGTCAGAATTGATGGTTCTTTTTGTAACCTCAAAAAAACGGGTCAATTAATGTCAGATGTCACGAATTTTCAAAAAATAACAAATTCGCGCCAAATTTGGTAGACGGGGGTTTTCGGGGTCGCTGATCACGGATCCGAGGTCAATTTTGCAAAATTCAAGATGGCGGATCCAAGATGGACTACCAAATTTTCAAAAAATAACACATTCGCGCCAAATTTGGTATACGGGGGTTTTCGAGGTCACTGATCACGAATCCAAGATCAGATTTGCAAAATTGAACCCGTAAATAGATCTTTTACAGAAAAAAGAACAAGATATAGCCGAACAAAAGTAGGTTAACACATGATTGGGTACCTACTCAGCTTATAAAGTAAAATATGAATATGAATATGAATGAATATGAATTTCGCAATTCTGACCTCGAATACGTAATCAGCGACCCCGAAAACCCCCATATACCAAATTTTTTGCTATTCTGTTTTGCTATTCTGTTATTATTTGAAAATTTGATTGGCCATCTTTTATCCGCCATCTTGAATTTTGCAAAATTGACGTCGGATCCGTTGTCATCGAGCCAGAAAACTTTCGTATGCCAAATTTGGCGTAAATCTGTTATTGTTTGAAAATTCGTGATATCTGACCTTAATTGACCCGTTTTTTTTGAGGTTAGAAAGAGAACCATTAATTTTGACCGCGGATTCACGTTGGACGGGGTCTTAACTATATAAATAAACATTTGAATATAGAAAAAAAATTGTATTTTTCCTAGCACTTTTTCATGAATTTCTGCTATTTTTTACCTGTTTTTTTGAGGCAGTTTAAGGCGTCAGTACCGGAATACCGTAGATCAGTTATATTCGTAGAGAGGCGCCTTCTCTGTAGTTATGGTAGGGTGGAAAAACTTTGGCTTGGGTCAAGGTGTACTGATACTGGTCGGTGTTTGAATATCCCCATAATTAATGATGTTTTCCAGGTTTCCCTCGTTCCTGTATTCTAGGCTAATCCCTGTGATTAGAATGGGGGCGGGGGGTAGTGATATTATTATATTCCAATTTAGAGATAATAAATGGATTGAGCAATACTGTCTTGGTTCCTGTAAATTGTTGCGGGTTCCATGGAAACACAGAAACACACAGTGAGTGTGTTTCTGGCTAAACAAAATTCATCCTTGTCTTTTTTACAGTACGCCTAAGATGAATTGTATGTAATCTTAAATGTTTTTACGATAGTTGTTTTTATTATAATTTTAACTAACTTTAAGAAGCAATCTTATTTGCTTTATAAATGTTGTAACTGTTATTATCTTTAGTTGTCTAGCGAACTTAATCGACTTAACATACATTTTTTATGGATTTTATAATGACGTCATTCAAAAATGCTGGGTTGTAATTTAACAAACCCTTTGGCGTTTTTGACAAAGCTAATGGTTGTATGTGCATTTTAATGGGCTTGCATGACAGTGCGCTGTACTTTTATTGCTTGAAAATAGAGTCTGCATTGCCACATGATTTGTTTGGTACTGTTTAAATTTATAGTCCGTTTTGACATTAAAGATAATTACTATTAATGGTTTCCTCCATACATACATCTTACGATTTATGTTTCTGCGACATAGGAAAGCGAAATAAATCTTCAGTTATAGAAAACTAAGAAAATATTTTGAATTTAGAGAATATCAACAAAAAATACAAGTTTTGGTCAACATATTTCTTTCTATGATTATTCATTCCAACTTTTTTTACTACAACACTATACATTTTAACATTTTTTGTTGTTAAATATTAACATAAGCATTACCGCATCTAGGATTCCAGCTAAGGGTACGGTGTTGGCGTCGTCTCCAGCGTTAACGATGGCCTTCTCCATAGATTTGAGCACTTGGTCCACCGGACCCCATTCTCCCTTCTGGCAGAGCACCAGGATCCTCTGAGCTGCATCCCTGACATTGGGACCCGCACTCTGAGGTTTAGAACTAGGCGTTTCATCTCCCTCAGGGTTACTGGTGGTTTCCTCCTTCTCCTTGTCCTTCGACTCCTTGGAGTTACCTGAAAAAATATATGGAATCAATAAAAAATATACTTAACAGAAATTACTTTTTGATAAACGTATATAAATGTATAAATGAAGTTCCTATTCTCTCTGCTCCTGTAGAGTAATAGATTTATGTAATTGAAAAATAATAACTGCTGTCTCTTTGTATACAGGGCGTTTTCTATATCAGCATTCTAACCTCAGAGGTTGTTCCTTGGATTATTTTAAACCAAACAGTTTTAATGAACCAGGGATCTAAAGGTACTGATTTTCAATAAAGAGCGTTGAATTTAAAAAGATGTCACAATTATTCCAATATGTCCGAATACAACAAATATGTTGAAGAAGTTTCGAATTCATTTCATTGATTCAGAAATATTACAACTAGCAGCGGATACATTTCCCACAAAAAGTCCTAGAACTTTAACGTATTTTGGAAATTGGATAAGTGTTTTCAAGAAAAATGTTAACTTCTATTTTATTGGAAAAATGAATAATCGAGTTATTACTCTTTTATATCAAAACGTTGTTGAAATAAGTTTCATCAATTTACAACAATTATCTTGAGAGATATGTGAGTACCTAAATGTCATAAATTTTTATGAATTCAATAAATTTTATTTTAAAAAACAGTGGTTCTATTCATTAAATTCTAAAATGATCTCAGGAACATTCTTAAATTTTAATAACAACTCGCTATATACTGGGTGTATTGCTAAAAGTTGATAATAAACGCTGCACGAATTTAATTATTTCCAGTTTTAAATTAAGTAAACAACAGCATTTTCTAATTACTCCTACGTCAAATATGTTACAGAGGTCTTTAAATATTATATTTTTTTATTGAAATGTAATGTAATTTGAAAAATTATCTAAATTAAAGGTGGAAAACCGTGTTAGAAAAACCCAACCTTAACGTTCATATCTATCTAAAAATGGATTATAAATCAAAATTAATTGTCTGTTTCCCTTAGTGCTTTATCTGTGACAAAATCAAATTAATGAAATTTTGGTAATAGCTTCTATAGGATAACATTTTTCCTTTTTGCCGTTACAGTTTGTTAAATATGATATACGAGTACATTCAGGTATATGTAATTTTACAAAAAATTTATTGTATTTATCAAGAGTACGAAATATAAAAATATGTTTTTTTTTACAGAAAATTGCGGAATTGTGAAATCGTGCGATTATTTAATTTAAGTATCCTAATTTTGTGTAGAGCGATAGTCATTTTTATAACGAATTGTTATCAGTAGGTCAAGGATACAGTTTTTATAAGATAAACTCATTAATAAACAAATGTATTAAAGTATGAAACTGTACCTAAATAAAAGTAAAAAATTAGATACTTAGACTTAGATCTGTTAACTAATAATGTTAAAATGCTAAATTATTAAGTCAAAATTGTAACAATTCTTAATACAACTAACTATGTATTGTACGAGTATAAGCTACAGGACATATGCATTTTTACTGAATTTTTACTGATCAGAGTTTTAGAGTATTAAAAATTATTATTGTTATAAATACGATAATAGAAAATGTTTACTGTTTGAGATGTGTTAAATTTTCCTTAATAAAATTCTTTTTTTATATAACCATTCCATATTTGAAATTTTACGGAATGTATTTGGCATTTTTAAAAAGTACCTACTTGAATTTTTTTGTAAGGTAGTAGAGAAAAATAGTGGCGAATGCCTTTATTAAAAAATATTGTTACCCCACTGACAAATACAAAAATTATTATTTTAAAAAATCTCTTTATTGTTGTTGTTTTTTTTTTTTCATAAAGCTAACAATTTTTCAATTAAATAACACTGAAATCTGAGATTTTGGACCCAGTGCCTTTTTATAAATTAGGCCATAAATTTAATGGGAAATTCGAAAATGCAATAATATGCAGATTATTTCATTGGAAACTATCTAAGATTCACCTTCTTTATTATCGGAACGTAAATATGGAGCTTTATATAAATAAACAAAAATAACTCTTGACTGATCAATTTGGAGCAAGACTAATTTTTTAATTTTTTTCACGGGTAGCAACAAAGTTAATGTGAACATAGGAAAATGCAAATAACTCAAAAATCGATAAAGTTAGATCAATTAAACAAGATTACCTTTTCTGTGTTAAATTGAACTGCCTTTTAGATTTTTGAGTCACTTTAGCCATAATTTATTAGACAAAAAATATATTTTTCTGATTCACTGATGTAACAGGGTGGAATTAACGCCCTGTACAGATAGCGGCAAATTCAATATCAAATTCGTAATTCTCATAACAAGAAACATAAAACTATCAATTTTCGAGTTGGTTCTGATAAAAATTAAATAAATAAACAAAAATAAGTAGCAAAAATGATATAGTTCATAACAAACAAAACAGATAATAATATATACAAATTAATTCAGGCTAGACATTTGTATAATTGTGTAATTCAGTGCAGTTTTAATTCCAACATTTTATTTGTACCCATTAAGATATTGTTAATGGACCTATGGATTAAACAAATATCTAAGTAACGTATGCGAATATTTTATAGAGTGACTCAATGTCTTAATTTTTTTTACTAGCCTAAATTCTAATTATTAGTCTAAAACAGATATACGTATAGTGATGTGTTTTTTGTATTTGTCTGTTTTTTTCAGTTAGATTCTTGGTTAGGCAAAACTATTTTCAAAAAAATAACTCATGAAGGTTTATTTAACTAATTTTTTAATTTTTTTCAAAAGTGGCAAAATTTCCAAAAAATATAGAAAGGAGAAACGGAAACTATGTCACAAATAAATAACTTAAAACAATATCCTATTTCTGTGCTTCATTTAGTGTATTTTTAACTCAACTAAGCGTTTCGACTCTAGCGGCATGTAATAAAAATTTAAACAAAAAGTGTGTCATTAAAACCTCAGAGATTTTGAAAGTTGATTTTGATGAGTTACATGTGCGGTTAAAATGTTGGCACTTGTTTCTGGGACTCCCTGCACATATTTTGAATTTTAAAAGAATAAGTGCTGTATTCACAGGCTGGAATATGAACAAAAAAACTTTTAAAATGAAAGAAACAATATCCTATTACGAGTATATCAACAAACTTTCCTTTGAAATTGCATAAAAACTAACAAAATAACCTGTCCACCTCTATATTTTGTATTATTATATTAATACCTCCTTTCCCAGCTCCATCATCGCTCTCCTTATTCTTATCCTTGGGAGGGCCCTTGCCTCCCCCTTTCTTTCCTCCGGACTGAGACATTTCTATTATCTCCTCATACTACTCACCCCGTATTAAAAAAACAGAAATTTTATTCACAAGAAAATCGTAACTAGTACATTTTAAAAATCCTGCGGAACAACAGTTCCAGGACCAAAGACAGACACTTTAATATTATATCCCCACTGGAAAGCATGGTCGAAATTTTAAGTACTTCGAGCAGAGTAGTCTACGACTCCTGCAGAAATCTTAGCTTTGACTATCAAACTGGCCGTTTGAATAAATCTGCCAAAGCGGCGAGAGAGTTACGGCAATCTTGGCCAATGGGGGGTGGTTTACCCCCACTAACCGCCGTGATAAGGGTGTTCTCCGTCGTGATTCAACAACCAAGTCTGTCGTGTAGACACATTGACCTACTATAATGCCGGAATAGTCCCTTATGGATTATTCTGAATGCTAGTACCAGCGTAGAAGGTAATGGGACTATTAGGAAATGTGTTTCTGTTTATTATGGTGAATATAGGCCGTTGTAAAACATGATAGAATTGTAAAGGGATTGCTTAGTTAGTTTATAATTTTTTTTGGTTTCTTCAGATCACGTCTTTGTTAATTTCATTCCTTGAAAGCGTATCTAATTAAATAAAATTAAGCTCTAGAAACGAAACGATAATTTGTGTGAATATTAAATCCACCAAATACACTAATGAAGTGCCTTCACCACTGAGTAAATATTGTTTAATTTTAATATTAGCAATATATACAGGCTCCCAGTTTTAATCTATCAGATTTCGGAGACGTATAGAACAACAAAAAGTAATGGTAGTTCGTCATGAACATAGGTATTTCAAAATCTCAACAGTTCTTGAGTTACATGGTGTTAAATGCTCCAAAAAATAAAATAAATTTAGGTCATATAGCTACAGGGATGGCCAAAAGTACGGAATAAAATTCATATCTTTTGAATGAGTTAATTTTTTTTAAACGCCGAAACACGTTAACTGATTTTGATTTTTTCCCATCTTTCGGTTATATAATAATTAATTTTTCTTCAACCCCCTAACCCCCAGCTACCCCTACTTTTTTTCAAATGGAAACGTAAGACAGGAGGGGGCTCGTTGAAAAGCTTATAGAAAACCGAATCCAGCCATACCAAATAAACAAGTTTTATTTTTTCAATAGCAAGGTTTTTAGGGTTGTATAAAACACCTACTTAACAAGTGAAATAAAATTTAATTATCTTCAGTGTTATCCTCCATGAATTTGCACAGAATAAAATAAAGAATTTGAAACTGTACCTATCACTGCTAACGCAAAAAAGATATATTTTTTATGTTGCGTTTTTTTGGCACCACTTACTTGCCAGGCTTTCTGGTTAATTTTTCGCTTTAGTTGTAAATTGGAGTTCGAAACGTTACTATTGTGTCAAAATCAAGTTATTTACTGAATTGCAATGGTATTGTCGGAAAGGCAACGCATCGAAATCTTGATATTGCTTGGATGTGGAGACAAAATAAGAAGTCAGGCTGAAGTGCGCGATTTATTTAATGCGAAATATCCCGAAAACCAAATCTCGCAAGGGACAGTTAGTAAAATATTTCACAAATTTGAGGAACACGGTACAGTACAGACTTTGCCCAAAACTGGACGGGCACGTGCTTTGAATGAAGAAAAGAAATTAGACATTGCATTAGAACTTGTTGAAAATCCTCATACTTCAACTGTTTCATTGGCCCGCAATCACGATGCTTCTCGAACTGCAATTCGAATGTTTCTGAAACAAGAGAAATACCACCCCTATAAGGTATGTCTTGTCCAAGAGCTTTTGGAAGACGATTATGATAGGCGATTACAATTTTGTGAGGAAATGATGAGACGGTGTGACGACAATAATGGTTTTCAACGAGACGTACTTTTTTCGGATGAAGCTACGTTTTATTTAAATGGAGTGGTTAACAGGCACAACTATCGCTTTTGGTCCCAGGAAAATCCACACTGGACATGCGAATCGCATACGCAGCATCCACAAAAAGTTAATGTATGGGCAGGTATCATCAACAACAGAATCTTGGGCCCATTCTTTTTTGAAGAAAATCTTACTGCCGCACGCTACCTGGATTTCCTAACATTTGACCTGATACCTGCTCTAGCTGTGATTTTCCCTCATGAAATTGATCCAGATATACCGAATGAAAGAATTTGGTTCCAACAAGATGGCGCTCCCCCACATTTTGGTATTGATGTTCGAAGATACTTAGATGAAATGTTTCCAAATCGCTGGATTGGTAGACGGGGTACAGCTGAATGGCCGCCAAGATCCCTCGACTTAACACCCCTGAAAGAAAGAGTCTACCAGGACAGACCGGATAATATTGAGAATTTAAAGAACAAGATTAGGGCGGAGATGCATATTTACCAGCTGAAGTCATTCAGGATGCTGTGGACAGCTTTTACTATCGTCTTGGAGAATTCCAATTAGTGAATGGAAGACATTTTCAGTATTTGCGACATTGAGTTTATTTTTATAAATTATCTAGTTGTTTCAATTTCTAAATGAAAAAAAAACTTGTTATTGAGAAAATAAAACTTGTTTATTTGGTATGGCTGGATTCGGTTTTCTATAAGCATTTCAACGAGCCCCCTCATGCCTTTGTTTCCATTTGAAAAAAAAAGTAGGGGTAGCTGGGGGTTAGGGGATTGAAGAAAAATTAATTATTATATAACAGAAAGATGGGAAAAAATCAAAATCAGTTAACGTGTTTCGGCGTTTAAAAAAAATTAACTCATTCATAAGATATGAATTTTATTCCGTACTTTTGGCCATCCCTGTATATAGGGTGTCCCAGAGCTATCTTGAGAGGCATTAACTCGGAAACTAGTCGAGATAGAAAGAAATTTATATGGAAAAGGTTTTCTGCTTAAAAAGATGCGTTTAATCATTTTATTTTCAAATATACAAGGTGCTCCAAAAAGATGGTATATTGCGGAACTTCAATTTTTTAAATGGAACACCCTCTATATTTTTAAGTGTTTGGGTTTTCCTTTTATTTCTGAACATATTTGATTAACCATGTTCTATACCTATCATTAACCGTTTAATTTAATTAATATTTTTTGGAGTAACATTTCTCTAATAAGTACTCTCAGGAATAATACAAAATAAAAAACATTATAGCTATTATAAAATGTGTTCAAATTGCCGGTCATTTTCATTTTGACACAATTCATACCTCCTTAAAAGTGCTTGTGTACAAGAAACCGTATAACTTCTGGAGATATTTGACGGCAAGCACGACTGATTTTATTCCGTAGATCTTCAACGTTATTTGGTTTTTCAGCGTACACAACTTGCTTTAAATGTCCCCACAGATAAAAATCGAGAGGACTCAGGTCAGGTGACCGTGCAGGCCACCTAACAGGTCCCTGAAAATCTTTCAGTCTAAAAATGCGTTACAACATGCGAGTTATGAGGTGGTGTTCCGTCTTGCTGCCACCACATAGAGAGGCGCTCATTTAATGGAACTTCTTCAATAAGATTGTCCATTAAATAAGCCGCACCACACATTACTTCCCCAAATGGATTGAAAATGGGTTTCTCTGACCCAGTGAGGATTTTCGACAGACTAGTAATGACTATTATGCCGATTAACCATACCATTATAGTGAAAACGTGCTTCATCGGTCCACATAATTTTATGGAGGAACTGAGGTCGTCATGTAACTGAACCATAACGCAGGCAATATATTCCAGGCATCTGTTGTAATCATTAGGTCTTAAATTTTGAACCAAAGATAATATGGTGTCCATTATTTGCTAGAATTCGGTGAAGCGAAGATTTGCTTAAATCAATCTCTTCCGCAATATTACGAACAGACGCACGTGGATTGACTGCTATAAACGCAAGAATATTGATAGTATTTTCTTCGTCTCTTGCCAAATGTACATGCTGAACTCCTCTTGGGTTTGGAAATGAACCAGTACACAATTTTCGCTCTACATTAGAAAATGTTTGTCTAGATGGCACATGTCTATTAGGAAATCTGTCCCTATACAATTGTTCCGCGGCTCTGGAATTATTTCGACACTCGCCATCAATAAGTAACATATCAACGTATTCATTTGGTGTAAAAATTAATGGCATATCTAATACTTATTTGAAAATTAAATGGAGACTTTGAAATTTAATTACCGTCAGCTACATTGAAGATTAAACTGTTCATATATCGTAAACGGTATAGAACATGATTAATCAAATATGTTCAGAAATAAAAGGAGAACCCAAAAACTTAAAAAATATACAGGGTGTTCCATTTAAAAAATTGAAGTTCCTCAATACACCATCTTTTTGGGGCACCCTGTATATTTGAAAATAAAATTATTAAACGCATCTTTTTAAGCTGAAAACCTTTTTTATATAACATTTCTTTCTAAAAAAAGGTCTAGAATTTATTTATTGCAAATGCAGTTCTAAATACAACGTAACAACTAAAAGTCCGAAAAATTCAGTGTTTACCAATTACAACCCCTTAAAAAATTTAATATATCTGCACCAATTTCCTCTTATTAACGATTACATTGTATTTAGAATTGCATTTACAACAAAATTTCATTGAAAGTAAAGTTTCATCTTTGTGAAATGAAAGTTTTATAGTCATTTTCTTAATATTCAACTTTAAGTTAAAAAAATTAATCGAAAAATATTTGTTATCAAAGTTAGTGTAAATATCCATTATTACTAGGACAAATCTAAAATAAATGTTTACTTGCTTTAAATCAGGGGTACTATCGGCGACCTACCGCAAAAAAATTGATTGACAAGCGATCGACACCAAAAAGTACTGTAACATAAAAGGTGATATGGGCATGATACTAGGTACAAAAAATATACAAATTATAAATAGGTATACAGGGTGTTTCTAAAATAGGGTTCCAAACTTCTGCTGCATTTACAACTCATTAAAATAAGCCAAAAAGTTCCTATTAACATGTGCCCTAAAACGCACCCTTAGGAAGTTATATGCCCTTAAAAGGGCTCAAACAAAAC